AATGTGATAGACATTTGATATATGTTTGCTGAGTTAATTTAAACTCTGCTTCTTGATCGTTAAAGAAAATATACACAACTTAGTAACGTAAACAAATGGAATCTTATCAATATAGAAAGGAGCTACTTAGCCCATTCTATCTTGTTTTCTATATCTAGGCAGTCTTCCTTGTCCTCTGAACCAGGGCTGTGAAGTGGTGCTGTGCAGCTGGCTCTGTAGATAAGGATGCATGAGGAAGTTGATACGTGATCATACTGAAATTGCTATGAGAGTAAAATATGTTTTTAAAGAAATGATGCAAGATTTGCCACTGACATTTTAGGAAAGTGACATAGTGGAAAAAAATGGAGAGCTCATGTTTGCATGTAGTTTTACCTGTCAGTCTGCCATATATTAGGTGCAATGTTGGAGCAAGTCACTCAGCTTTTCAATGTTTCCAAAAAGCTCAGCATGCCCTTTATTTAAATCTCTGTATGGCAAACTTGCTTACCTCCTTCTACTCTTTGGCTGGGAATCCTATCAATGGATCCTACCTTCACTGACCTATTTAAAGTAACTCTCCACATGACTGTGTTCATGCTTGCCTGCTCTGCCTGCTGTTTTGTTTGTTTTGTTTTTGTTTTTTCCTATGAGCCCCTCAAACTCTCCCTCTGTCCTTGGATATTGTCTACCACGTGCTCACCTAATGTCTACCTTCCATCATCTGTTTCCGCCGCTTGAAAATGTGCCCTGGACAACGACCGCGATGACAGTAAGCCATGTTATCGACAGACAGATTCCAAGACCCCAGCATGACACTTAGCCCATAAAAAGTTTTCATTAAATACTTATTAAAATACATGTAATAAAGTTCATTTCTGAAATCAACAAAAATTATTCTAAAGGTTAAAACCATAAATCCACATTGGAGGAACTGCTGCGGGTGCGCGGGTGCCCCAGGCAGCCGAGCCTGGCGGGGGGGGGGGGTCCTGGGCCCTGGCTCCCTCCACTGACCCGGGGTGCCTGCAGCAGGACCTCCCCAGCCTCTATCCAGTGGACCTGGAACTGGCTCATGGACCCTGCGACTGCAGCCCAGGCCTGGGTCCCGCGTCCTGAGACCGCCTTTGCTCGTACGCTCCTGCTCTGCTTGGCCTGGTCCTCTTCCAGGTGGCCGGTGCTCGCGACCGACAACGGAGTGGTGGGTAAAATGTATAATCAGTGAATTTCATATATAATCATATGTAATCGACGGATTTCAAGACGGTTTTGGAGCTGGAATCCAAGCCCGTCAATCGTGTCTACACTGCTCAGGCAAGCTCTGCATCGGGAGACTGGAGAAGCCGAGCCTGGACACCCTGGCGCAGAGCGCGACCTCACAGACGGGACTGCAAGGGCGCGACGCCGCCGGGGTCCCCAGACGGGACTGCAAGGGCGCGACGCCGCCGGTGTCCCCAGACCGGACTGCAAGGGCGCGACGCCGCCGGGGTCCCCAGACCGGACTGCAAGGGCGCGACGCCGCCGGTGTCCGAGGCCCAGGGCCCGTCTTGCTCTGCTGGGGACGCAGCCACCGCGGGTTCTGCCGCGAACCTCGGATCCGAAGCTCCCCAAACTTTACAGGTGACCTGGAGACACACCGGGTCAGCCGATAACTCGGTGTTTTGACCCACTCGGGACAAAGCAACCTGACAGCAGCAGATGGAGGCGGCTTAGACGGAAGGGCGTGTTCATGGGCCTCTGGGAGTTTGCGACAAGGACTGAAGTTGTGCACTTTATTATTGGAAAGCTTCAAGTGCGGGAAAGAAAACAGCCAAGACAAACACGAGCGCGTTTTTGATGGATGTGAAGGGGAAACCACTGTCCCAAGGTTCAGGCAGTGAGTCCATCCGAAGACGACGGGAAACCCCAGCGTGGGCGCCAGCCGTGGACAACGTTCTTCCTGACGATTGCGGGTCGGAGGTCAGCAGCCTCCTGGCTCCCGTGCGCTTCGGGGCACGCGCGCAGCGGGCGAGGGCGGCCCCTCGGGAGGACGCGGGCTGAGCTTACAGGGACACGCAGCGCCGCTGGAGCCACCCGTGCTGCCACTGCTGTGCTGTGACCCAGAAGGCTTAAGACACTGAAATGCCAGATGTAGGTGATGGGGAGGAAGGCAGCAAATCACACTGCCGTGTGTGTACCTATGCAACGATCGTGCATGTTCTTCACATGTACCCCAAAACCTAACATGCAATTAAAAAAAAAGAAAAAGAATAAATAAGTAAAAATAAAATAAAGTGAAAACACACACACACACACACACACACACACACACACAGTGGAATAGGTGGAAACAGAAACCGGGATAATGGAGCGTGATGGTCCAACTGATCCCAAGGTGCTTTAATTTTTAAAACTCTGGCACCTTCTACGCACGTCATGCTTTAGATGATGCCCTCAGGAGGAACGAGCTCATCCAAACAAAAACAAACGAACAAACGCCCTACACATTCCGGAATGGACTTTTGAAGAACTTTTGAAAGGCCGACTTCAAACCCTGTAGGAAACTGAGCTGAAAATTGTGGAGACTTTTCTGGGACTTTTCTAACGTTTCTAATACTGTGTCTAGGTTCTTTTTAGGAGTACGTTTGGAAATTCAAAACAATGGGCCAACCCACAACTAGTGTATTAAGTGCAGGAGACTATATTTTCGGCACCTTCCTGATACACTTCACGATTTAGCACTTTCACTTGAGTGGTATTGATTAAACATTTGAGAAGCAACTCTATTTTTATGTCTACTGTACAAATTACAGAGTTTAAGATTTAAGATACAGCTTCTTTGGCAACACTGTATACACATATATAATTTTTAAAAGATTTTGTATATGGGAATATTCTATTTATATAATTTTTTTACTTGTATATGTTGAGATTATTTAATATGCTTTTTATAAATAAAGGCAACTAGGAATTGCTGGGAAAAAAATAAAACCGTGTCAATCAAAGTCGGGTACCAGATCAAGACGACCATTCTCTCCATTATTTTTCAACAACATTTTATGAGTTCCAGCAAATACAGGCAAATAAAAAAACGAGTGCCCTAAGTTGGGGGCTGGGGGAGATATGCCAGGAAATTTTTTTTTTTATTCCCACTTTTCTTAGAGTTTTTATCAGGAATTGCTACTCAATATGACCAAACATTCATTCAGAATCTTTAATTGAAGAGAGAAATACATAAACATATATCCATGTCTATACACACACACACATACATATACATATATATAAACACATAAAACTGGATGAAATTAATTATATTGATAATAATTTCTTGATATTAACTCAGGATTTCTGTTTTGAAATAAAGACCAATTGCTCATGGCACAATTTCATTTCTCACTTGTGGAATTCTGTATGCTAATACTGTATTCATAATTGAGTACTGGCTTATATTTTCATATTAATAATGGTCTCTCATTTCTTTAGTTATGCTACTATGTCTGCCTTTATTTTTAATTTTCATGTTAATTTACTTTAATAAAATGGTTTGAAGAGACATCTGGAATCACGTCTTCTTTAAGAATTAGTTAAACTCAGTTTTGTCCTTCTGGTCCTGATCCTTTTTCAAAGTAGAACTTTTATCAATTTTATCAATTCTAAAATTTAAATTAACTTGCTTAATGCATCCTGAGGTACTCAATTGGCCACATAACAATTTTAAGAAAAGAAAACATTGGACCGGGCCTGGTGGCTCATGCCAGTAATCCCAGCACTTTGGGAGGACGAGGCGGGCGGATCACGAGGTCAAGAGATAGAACCCATTATGGCCAACCTGGTGAAACCCCGTCTCTACTAAAAATATAAAAATTAGCTGGGCGTGGTGGCTTGTGCCTGTAGTCCCAGCTACTTGGGAGGCTGAGGCAGGAGAATTGCTTGAACCCCGGAGGTGGAGGTTGCAGTGAGCCGAGATCTTGCCACTGCCCTCCAGCCTGGCAAGAGAGCAAGACTCAGTCTCAAAAAAAAAAAAAAAAAAAAAAAAAAGGAAAACATTGCTTGAATAATTGAGAAAATCATCTTGGAATTACAACAGATCTGAAATGGTGTTTCTACAGCCATGTGAATTAGCTAATAATGTATTTTACTTTAATTAAAGTTTGACTCAGGATATGACTTTATACAGTAATATTACATAGAACCTTGTTTCAATTGGGTCTTTGAAAACAATGGACTTATATTCAGTCATAATCTTAAATATTACAGTAAAAACCGATCAAATATTTCAATATTCTTGTCTAAAATAAGTGGTTCTTTTCTATACTGAAAGTCAGTGATTATGTTATTATCAGTTGCACTAAAATTTATTATTATTAGAGCTGACGGCTGAACCTACATTCTTAATTGGAATAACTAATTATCAAAATCAAACATAATTATACACTATTTTAGGCTGAAACTTTAGGAGTTCTAAAATTTTAAGTTAGTCATAGTTCTTTTTTTCGTCATGTAACCGGTAGACATTCCTGCTGGGACTTTTCATTTTAAACAACATAAAATTTAGACTAGAAATGCCTATTGAAAGGTTCCTATTTTATTTCTCTATATTTATGAAATATTTTTAAAAATTAAAATGCAGAGGAACATAGTGAATGAATGCATACAGTGCCTCCTCCGGAACATCACATTCCCTTTCTTGAGCTCTGGCGTCAACAATAATCTGACTCCCCATCCTTAGCTCGATGTGTTCCTCGCTTTTTCTTTTTTTTTTTTTTTTTTTTTTTTTTTTTTGAGAAGGAGTTTCGCTCTTGTTACCCAGGCTGGAGTGCAATGGCGCAATCTCGGCTCACCGCAACCTCCGCCCCCTGGGTTCAGGCAATTCTCCTGCCTCAGCCTCCTGAGTAGCTGGGATTACAGGCACGCGCCACCATGCCCAGCTAATTTTTTGTAATTTTTAGTAGAGACGGGGTTTCACCATGTTGACCAGGATGGTCTCGATCTCTTGACCTCGTGATCCACCCGCCTCGGCCTCCCAAAGTGGTTCCTCGCTTTTTCAGCTCTGTTCTGTATCCTGTGGTTGCAGCCACTCAAGATGAGGGCTGATGTGTCTCAATCATCTCACATTCTTTCCTCTTCTAGGGGTGTTGTTTCCTCCACATTCCAAATTAGATTTGACTTCACATAACGGATTAACCCACTACTTCCAAAAGTTATGCGATAAGGTTTTCTTAGAATCAGCTCTATAACCTACTTCCCAGCAGGTAATTTCGGCTACTACACTTGATTTCCTTTCCAATCCAACAGTACAAGCTCTCGTGAATATTACAGACTCATTTCTTGGTTGAATGCTTCTCTCTTAAGAAAGCCTTATCTCCTGCCCATGGCTGGCAAATGCCATGACCCTGTGAGCAATCTACAGTTGTAAATGTGTGTGTCCGCAGGAAACCACAGAAGGGTTGTGTGCTCCCTCACTTTGCCACCAGAAGACTCCTCTGTAAAGCTGAATGTGCTAGTAGACTCAAGGGCAGGAGGACTCCCTAACCCCAGCATAAAATGCTTTAAAGCTGTCACCCCATGATACCTGTAATAAGCCAAGTTCTTATTTTTCCTTCAGTTCATAAACCAGTGCATAAAAAATGATTGATTTATTTGGTGTCCACCTAGAGTCACTGTTTTAGAATGAACAGTAAAACATGTTATAGTTTTTAGATTAGCAGAGTTATTTTATCTGTAAAGGGACCTGTTTCGTCCTTCAAAATCAATCCTCAAAGTCATGTTTAAGATCCTTTTCAAACAGGACCCAGAAGGTTAAGGAAATAATTTGCTTATATCAAGTGGGATGAGTCCAATGTTAAGGCAACACTCCCGGTGGCTGTTTTCCGTCATTATTACTCCCGGGCAGAAGCACATCAATCTGACTCTCTTAAGATCAAAATCTTACTGGATTTCCTGATATCATGTGAGGCCAGTAACTAAGATCCTCACAAGCTAATCTTCCTGCCCTTTCTGTCTGTGAAGTGTGGTGTGTGTGTTTCCTATTGTGTGCTTAAAATAAGCCCCAGCAAAGCAGCAGTGTCCTCTTTTTTTGTTTGTTTGTTTGTTTTCCTTAAGTGCATTTATTGATGTAAACAGAGCATGTTAAATTCCGGGGGAGAGCAGACTATTACTGATATGTTGGCTTTAATTCAAAAAAAGAAGAAACTATGATACCAATGGTTTGGATCAACAGCAGCTTAAGGAGGAAAAAAAAAGATAAAAGGAAAGGAAAAAAAGTGACACCCCTCTGGCTTGGTGACCTGGTCCCAATCGCAGTCTCTACAGGACAGCAGAGCTGTCAAAACAGAACCCAATGATGATGGCTGAAAATCAACCCGGAATGCTGTGGGGTCAGCCTGCTGCCATGGAATGCCTCGTGTCTCGGCCACGTCTAGCCAGAGGTACGACACACTTGCTCCCAATAACCCGGGTCTGCCATTGGAAGTTAAAGACGGAATCGCTTCATGGCACTACAGATCTGGAAAAATAAAAATCTCAGCTAGAAAGAACGTCCGATTTGGAGACAGCGGGAGGAAGCGAAAGGGTGGGGGCCATTTTGGTGCTGAGCAGAGTGTGTTCTGAGTTCAGAAGGACCACGCGACGGCTGCGGCTGTGTTTTCGGGGTCATTTGTAGCAGACACAGTGTCCCCTTGATGCTCGATGGGGACTGCAGATGGGTATGATGGGACTGTGGACAGGAGAGGCTGCTCCAGGCTTCTTTCCTTCTCAATGCTTTACACAGGATTTCCTTAATTTGTGCTTTCCTTTGGTTTAACAGTGAAATAAGAAGAGTGAGGGGGCAAAATGGTTTCTTGTCATTTGCCCAAAACTGAGAGAAGAGGCAGAAGTGGGTGCCAGACCTCCTGGGTGATGCTTCCTGGGCCTAGTGGTTGGTTGCCTTGCTCAGGGTATGGGACCAGTTGCTCCTGGAGCCACTGCTGGCCTTCTGGGACCTCACTTCTGTGGTGGGGGATGTGACTGAGCCTCCTAGTGGGGTTTGTGTCGCAGAGAGGCAACGAAGCAAAGGCCCAGAGACAGAAGCCTGACACTGGCTATGGTTGATGGTCGCACCTTAACTCCCTCTCTCTCTGGACACACAACATCTGGGTGGGCCCATTCAGCAGACATTACAGGAAAAATAGCAATTTTAACTTATTCCATCTCCGAAGTTGAAAAAGATCAGTTACTAAAATAAACGATTTCTCAATTGCATTCTGGTGGCCGTGGGCCCAGTGGCCACGGCGCGGGCGGGGCGTTGGAGGTGGGAGGGCCCCGGCTGAGTGAGGGGCTCACTCAGAATAGGCACAGTCGGCTGGGCTGAGCGAGGCTCAGAGTAAGGCGGTGTCCCTCACAGAAGAACACATCGGAAAAAGCTGCTCCTCTTCCGCAGGTCTGGTGTGATTTTGACTCCCTGGTTGCTCCCCTGGGGGCTGTTGCCTTCCAATTCTTCGTCCATTTTTGCTTTGATGTCTCTGGCAAGAGTGCAAAATGCGTTTTCCACGTTGATGTTGGCCTTCGCGCTGGTCTCCGTGAACTCGATTCCACAGTCGAGGGCCAGCTTTTCTCCGTTCCTTGGAAACCTGTCTCTTGTGGTTCTCATCACACGTGTTCCCGAGCATCATCGTTTCAACATATGCAGAGCCATGCTCCTCAATGTTCCGAATCCAGTTCCGGGTGTTGTGGAAGGACTTCTCGTCGGTGACGTCATAAACCAGCATGATGCCCATCGCACCCCTGCGGTAGGCTGTCCGGATCGTCCGAAACCGCCCCTGACCGGCTGTGTCCCGTATCTGCCGCTTCATTCTCTTGCCGTCGAGCTCTATGGTCCTAATTTTAAAGTCCATTCCTATGGTGGAGATAAACGTGGAGTTGAAGGCGTCCTCGGAGAAGCGGAACAGGACGCAGGTCTTCCCCACCCCCGAGTCCCCGATCAGCAGCAGCTTGAACACGTAATCGCAGGTCTTCGGCAGGTTACACTCTCTCCCCGACAGGAAGTGCAGCCAGCGCCTATCCATTGGCCACCAGCCCCGTCCATCAGCGCCGAGCCTGCTCCTTATTGGCTCCAGGCCCGCAGCCTGTCACCGCGGCCCACACTCGCCCCTGAGTCCCGCCCACCGCACGTGTCCTTTTTCTATCAATTAAAAGCAAGCTGAGCTAAGAGCATCCTTGGCTTTATATCCCAGAACAGTGGCAGGTAGCTAATTCCTCCTTAGAATCTCACAGAAGATAGAACGGCCTCCAAGGTGAAATCAGAAAGGGCAAAGAACCGAAAAAGGTTGTATGAAATTTTCTTCTTAATAGATGAATGGAACTTAAGAGTTTTGGTTCATGAACTGAGTCATCAGATTTGTAGTGGTTTAAATATTAGATTAAAACCATACATATCTATCTGAATTCAACTTCTCTTTTCTGTTCTTATTCATTGTCACCATTTATCAACCCTCTTTCTGGGGTACTCATCTATAACACTTTCAGAGAATAACTGTACTAATACTTTAATCAAAATTCGTGACATTTTATTTGAATTATAAAATGCGGATGAAAGTAAAAAGGACAACTGGATTTATTGGTGCAGATTTCTGATTTGGCAGGAAGAATCCATTCATTATTATTTACGATATAGAACCTATATTTTCCAATCTGACAGTATCAGGCTGACATAATATGCATTTAAAGCATAGAAGAAAAGCAGAAACAAAATGTACTACCTCAATCCTATTCCCTGAAAAGATTAAGAATCCGGCATTAATTAAGAAATATGTATTTGTCAAACACTTAAAATTATGATTACCTATATAGATACTCATAAGTGACCTTATATTTTAAAAACTCATTATCTCTGTAGGGTGAGTTTTTATTATTGTTTACTGTTCTTGTGCTTTTCATTTATACTCGAGCAGAGCTTTAAGATTGAAGCACATGTAAAGTCTTAAAAGTAAAACAATCACCCATTGCCTATTTCGTAGTCAACCATATTTAACTTATACACATCATATTTTTCCCGTATCTATACCCATATTTAAGTATTCCCATATTTACATACCTATTCCCAATTGATTTTCATACTGTTATGTCTTTTGGTTTAATCCTAGATATTATATTATCTACTGTACATTTACTATAGAATATGAATACTTAGCTGTTTTATCCCACTGCCTCATACATTTTATGTTATCAGAAATTTCTAATATTACATTCCACTGTAAGGATATACCTCAGTTTGTTTACCCATTTACCTTTTGACGGACATTTGAGTTGTCTTAATTTTCTGATAAAAAATATAGCTGGGCCGGGCGCAGTGGCTCACGCCTGTAATCCCAGCACTTTGGGAGGCCGAGGAGGGTGGATTACTAAGTCAAGAGACCGAGACCATCCTGGTCAACATGGTGAAACCCCGTCTCTACTCAAAATACAAAAAATTAGCTGGGCATGGTGGCGCGTGCCTGTAATCCCAGCTACTCAGGAGGCTGAGGCAGGAGAATTGCCTGAACCCAGGAGGCGGAGGTTGCCGTGAGCCTGGGTAACAAGAGAGAAACTCCGTCTGGAAAAAAAAAAAAAAAAAAAAAAAAAAAAAAAAAGCTGCCGTGAGTATTCATAAAAAGTATTTGTAAGGATGTTTACTTTCATTTCTCTTGGATAAATTTCTAAAAATTAATTTACTGAATTATATAGTACATACATGTTTCAATTTTATGAAACTGTTACATATTTTCCAAAATGACGGTGACTTTATTTTATTCTTATTCTCTGAGAGTTCCAGTTTCTCCACAACCTTACACACACTTAGCATCTGAGGCATATCTAATTTGGACATTCCAGAAGATTTATAGTGGTATCTCATTACTGTTTTAATTTACGTTTCCCTAATTGCTATCATATTGAGCCTATTTTCATGCACTAATTTGCCATCAACATAAGTTCAGGAATATATCTGCCTAAAACTTTTTCTTATGTTTTATTGGGTCATTTGTATTATTATTGAGTTTTGAGTGTTTTAAAATATATTCCAGATATATATTACTTATCAGATAAAGATTTACAAAGATTTTCTCCAAGTTTGTGACTTTCTTAAAAACATATTGCGTGGGAAAAAAATGGTTAAATTTTATTACTCCCAACTTAACAATTTGTGTTTTTATGGACTGCACTTTTGGAAAAAAAAAAAAAAAAATCCTAACTCACTGACACAATGGTTTTCTCCAAAGTTTATTTCTAGAAGTTTCATAAGCTTAGACCTTACATTCAGGTAACTGAGTCACTTTGATGTAGTATTAGTATTAATTTGTATGTCATGTAAGGTGTAAAGTTCTTTTTCTTTTCTAATGAGGATTTGAAATCGTCCCAGCACAATTTGTTAAAAACATTTTACCTTCTCTACTCCTTTTCAACTTTGCTGAAAAATAGTTGTTTGTTTTTGTTTGCATTTAGTTTTGGACACATATTACATTATTATTTTATTTATTTATTTATTTTAAATAACACAATGTCTTGATGATTATAGTTTCTTTATATCTGTTAAAATCAAATGAAGTTGGTTTAATAGCTTTGCTTTTATTTTCCAAAGGTGGCTTGCTTATTCTGGATTTTTCAAATTTCCATGAATTTTAATAACAGTTTGTCAATTTTTATAGAGAAGTCTGCTAGGATTCCCTATTGTCAATTAGGGTAGATAAATTTGAGTTTTGTGACATATATATTTAAATGTTTAAAAATTACTAATAGTGTATTGCCTACAGGGATTTTATGTATGTATGTAATGTATGTATGCATGTATGTATGTAATGTGTGTATGTATGTAACGTATGTATGTATGTAATGTATGTATGTGTGTAATGTATGTATGTGTGTGTGTAATGTATGTATGCATGTAATGCATGCATGCATGTATGTAATGTATGTATGTATGTGTGTGTGTAATGTGTGTATGTATGTAATGTATGTATGTAATGTATTATGTATGTGTGTAATGTATGTATGTATGTAATGCATGTATGTCTGTATGTATGTATGTATGTATGTATGTATTTCGGAGACAGGGTTTCACTCTTGTTGCCCAGGCTTGAGTGCAATGGAGCAATCTAGGCTCACCGCAAACTCCGCCTCCTGAGTTCAAGTGATTCTCCTGCCTCAGCTTCACGAGTAGCTGGGATTATAGGCCTGCACCACCACTCCTGGCTAATTTTGTATTTTTAGTAGAGACAGGATTTCTCCATGTTTGTCTTATTGGTCCCCAACTCCAGATCTCATGTGATCTGCCTGCCTCAGCCTCCCAAAGTGTGGGGCTTATAAGCATAAACCACTGCACCGGGCCAGGCCTTTTATTACTTTTATTAGATTGATACATAAATATTTCATAGATTTGGTGATTTTATGAATGGGTATTTTTAAGTTAGAAATTCTGATTGTAGAGTAATATAATTATTTTATATTTATCTCATTTTCTGAAACTCTGCTAAAAATATTAGTTATGGTTAGTTCCAGTAGCATTTTTAATTTTTTGGTAGATTCTAATGGATTTTTTTGTAAGCCATCATGTCATCTGCAGATAAAGATGCTCTTGCTCCTTCTTTTCAAATATAGATACCTACTTGTTTTTTCTCTATATTGCCCTGCCTAGTACCTTTATGGAAATGTTGACTAGAAGCAGATAGTGTCGACACTTTCATTTTTTTTATATTTAATGATGATATTAAATGATAAGGCTAAATAATGATGTTAAATGATAATGATATTAAATGATAAAAGACTAAAGGATACTACCCATAGGTTTTTTTATAGCTTCTCTCTGTCAGTTTCAACTTTAGTCTTTTATTTTTTAATAATAATTTTAGAGCTTCTTTCTGTAAGTTCGAGGAAGTTCTGTTCTACCATTTACTTTGGTTAAAGTGCTCAACAGATATAAATGTTGAATATTGCCAAATATTTTTTGATATTTCAACTCTGTTTTTTATGTGCTTAATTACACTGATTGATTTTCTAATGTTAAACCAACCTTGTATTCCCAGACTAAACTCTAGTTGATCATGTTGTATTATCTGATTTGCAATGATGTTGCATTCTTCGATTTGTTAAAACATTTAATAATGTTTACATAAGTCTTTTATTTGGCTCATTTTAAAAGTTTCAAAGTTTGCTCTGTTTTATCTTTAGTTTGTAGAACTTTAGTTATGATGTGTCTTAGTGTAGAATTCTTTGGCAGTATCCTTTCGAGGTTGGCTAAATTTCTTAAGTCTGTGGGCTCATGTCTGTCATTCAATTTGAGAATTTTTCATTTATTATAGGTTTAAATACTCTTTGAGCTCCTCTTCTTTCTCCTCTCCTCTGTGACTCATATGATACATGATATACATTTTATATATTTAGTTACTATCCTGCAGGTTACTGAGGGTTTTTTTTTTTTGGCTATATCATCTCTATTGTTCAGATTGGATGAATTCTATTATTCTGTCCTCATCTTCGTTAATTCTCTTCTTTCTCATTCCCACTTTGTTACTAAATTACTCCCAAGTTTTAAAAAATTTATGTTATTATAATTCTTACAATATAAATTTGGTAAATGTACATTGTAAAAATATTTGTATAATATCTATTTGGATATTATAATGTATAGCTTATTTCTTTGCTGAGATTTTATAATTTTTAACTTGGATCAAAAAAACTTGTAATTTCTTATGGCAACATTTCTGCTCAAATTGCTCCACAATCCTTGTGAGAGAGTTCCAATATGTGATTTATCTTATTTGTGATCTTTCTGGTTCTCAGTATGACATATAATTTTTACTATATCCTGGTCATTTTGTTTATTATCTTAGGTGACTCTCGCTCTTACTTGAGATTTCGTTTTTAAACAGAAATTTACTGTTTAGCTCATGGGTTCGTGGGCCATGGTTCCATTTATGATCTGCGTTTTAGAGTCATTTAGTGCTGTTTTGTTCTGACTCATTTATCTCTTGTCACTGGGCATCTACTGTTCCCTGCTGCTGTAGTTTGAAGGGATGGAAAAAGTTTCCCAGGTCAGTGCTGGTTATGGAGGCTTCCTTCCTGCTGCAGAGGAGGCAGGATAATAGGGAACTTGGAGCAGGTCAATCTTTGCTGGTCCTTTCCACTAGGATGGTGTATCTAGGCAGGGGAGGGTAGTCTTAGGACCTTGACAGAGGGGCCTCCCTCCCAGGCACTTATGAGGAGGAACTCCTGCCAGTGTTCCCTGTCACACAGTACCCCTGAGTGGGACAGAGGATTCTCAGGCCCAGGGAAAAGGGTGGCACTTCTGCTGGCTTCCCATTGTCACCACTCACTGATGATTGTGGCCTTGTGTGGTTATTAGTGGGGCTCCTTTACAAACCAGAGGTGGTATGAGCTTTTTAGAGTGCTTTCTGTTTTAATGTCGGGGCTGAGAAAATGCCTGGCCTGGTTGGTGTTCCTCTATTTAGTGGAGCAGGTAAAGGATACCCTGTCCAGTGCTGGCCTGAGACCCTAATCAGGTCTTCCTTCTTCTGCCTTTCAGAGTTCTTATTTGTTTTTCTCTTGCATTTTGTTCAGTGTTTACAGTTGTACTTCTTGGGGAGGAGCAGAGAGAGATGAGCCTGTGCCTTTTTTTTTGAGATGGATGTTTGCTCTTGATGCCAAGGCTGGAGTGTAATGGCACAGTCTCGGCTCACTGCAACCTCCACCTCCCAGGTTCAAGTGATTCTCCTGCCACAGCCTATCAAGTAGCTGAGATTACAGATGCCCACCACCAAGCTGGCTAATTTTTAATTTTAATTTTATTTTTAGTAGAGGTGGGGTTTCATCATGTTGGCCAGGCTGGTCTCAAACTCCTAACCTCAGGTGATCTGCCCCCCTCAGCCTCCCAAAGTACTGGGATTACAAGTATGAGCCACAGCATCTGGACACCTGTGCCATCTTGTCAGAACCAGAAGTCATTTTAATTGGTTTTAAGTAGCCAATTCTTTAATGACCTGAAGTCAAGCAATTTTTCTCTATACTTAACAACATATATTTCCATGTTTATTAACTGTTTTCTCACAGATTATTCTTGTCTCCTTATTTCTGTGATGGTTTAAAATTATAAATATATTTATATCTTTTTCAGGTGTGTTTGCTACAAGTAACTCTTCAGCTTCTTCTTTTAATTTTTGTAAATTTTAAAATGTTTACATTGCTTACATATTTTGGATATGATTTTTGGAGAACTTGACATTATTTTAACTGGAAGAACTCGACTTACTAATTCTACACTTTAAAAAATGTTGAGAATTATTGATCATAACAGACTTCAACATTAATAACAACCGATGCTATTGATGATGACAGGTTTGCAGGGAAAGGAAAAGAAAATGTTAAATTAAGTAGAAGATGTAATGCCTATTTATTTTTTGCAAGAGGATTAGAATGAATTGGGTTAATTTGATTTATCTGAATCGGCACTCTGGTCAGTGTCGGCAGAATCAGCTTTTATTCTTTTAGAATCATTTTATCTTATATCTTCGTCTATTTTATGTTGCGTAACTGATGCTCCAAAGCTTTTCCTATTTGTTGGTGCATAATAGCTGTTCAACAAGTATTAATATTTGCTAATGAATACAGTGGTCTGAACACTATACCCGTCTTTCTGTGGACTTCATGATTCCTCATTGCCTAATATAAACCATGAGCTCAGGAAGACCTCAGTAAGTGTGAATGGAAGATGTAGATTGTGTATAAATCGGATCACACAATGGTGATGGGAGGACCAGCATCCATGGCTCTTACTACAATGATAAATAATTCACTCCCTCTATCTTTTATAAAATATTTCTGATTACTAGGGAAAAATGAAAGGTGGAAGAGGCAATCAATAATTTCAAGGCTTTGCAACCATGTAAAAATGATAAACATAAACATAATTGTATTTTTTCAAATTCTTTTTTAGGTTCAGGTTCTTCGGAATGCTGGAGAAGAAGTGAATCTGACGGTGTCATTTTTAAAAAGGGCACCTGCCTTTCTCAAACTTCCATTGAATGAAGATTGCGCATGTAAGCATTCATAACGATAAAGTGCTCACATCATTACAGTTACATAGTCATTTAGACAATAATTAGTGATTTCTTCTTGTCGTTGAGACTTTTGTCTGACTATAAATATTTTTATATTAGCAAATGCGCTACTAACCCTTATAAAAAAGAAGCAGATGTTATTTTTCTTGAAGAATGTATTCACAACATTATAGTTTTTTCCTAGCCTACAACTGGAGAAGTATTATTTGTTTTAAAAATAAGCACATCAAATATCATGTATGCATTATGCATATCTATTAAATTTCATCAGAATATTTGGTGCATATATTTTCTCTAACTAAAAATGAAATACTTTGATTTGATTACTGGTCTTTCTAAAGAAGAATACTTCAGTTGTCGCGATGAAAGAAGGAAGATGGAAGAAAGCATTTGCCTTTGTGGGAATGTACTAATTTACGTAGGACTACTTAGAAAGTTATTTATCAATTTTATTTTCCTGTTCCATTTTCTAAAATGAAATGTATATTATCTAATACTTTCATTAAAAATTTGAAGGATAATATAATTTTCACTGAAACATAATTTGTATGCAATAAAGTGCAAAGATCTTACACAGTTGGGTCAGTTCTGAAAAAACACACATGCGCTTAATCCACTTCTTACAATCATGAAACTTCCTAGTAAATAACAGTCCCAGAAATGACTACTCACACTTTCTCCATCATGCATTATTTTGCCTCTTCTAGAACTTTATAGAATGGAATTACACGTCATTTATTTTTTATTCTGGCTTCTTTCTACATGAACAATTTCTTTCAGATGAATTTATGCTGCACATTTCTTAGTCTGTTCATTTACATTGCTGTTGATTATTGCATTGTATATATGGACTAAATTTATTAATGCATCTTGCTGTTGAAGATACCAGCACTGTTTCCACTATTTTGCTATAATAAATAAAGCTGCTGGGAAAATTTTCTCTCTCTTTTTTTAACGAGTCTCACTCTGTCATCCAGGCTGGAGTGCAGCGGCATGATCTTGGCTCACTGCAACCTCCACCTCCCAGGCTCAAGCAATTCTCCTCACTCAGTCTCCTGAGTACCTGGGACTACTGGCACATGCCACCACATCTGGCTAATTTTTGTATTTTTTGTAGAGATGGGGTTTCACCATGTTGGCCAGGCTGGTCTCGAACTCCTGACCCTGTTGTGATCTGGCCACCTCAGCCTCCCAAAGTGCTGGGATTACAGGCGTGAGCCACTGCCCAGCCAACATTCTTTTTTTTAAATTTGTTTTTTAAGTTCTGAGGAAAAAGTGCCGGCTTGTTACACAGGTAATCTTGTGTCATTGGGGTTCCTTGTACACAAATCAGATACTAAGCTTAGTACCCACTAGTTGTTTTTCCTGATCCTACCCCTCCTACCACCCTACACTCTCTGAAAGGCACCAGTGTGTTTGGTTCCCCTCTATTCGTCCATGTGTTCTCATCATTCAGCTCCCCCCACCACCTTTTTTTTTGAGACAGAGTCTTGCTCTGTCACCAGGCACCAGGCTGGAGTGCAGTGATGCGATCTCGGCTCACTGCAACCTCTGCCTCCCAGGTTTAAGCAATTCTCCTGCCTCAGCCTCCCAAGTAGCTGGGGCTACAGGTGCATGCCACCCAGCCCAGCTAATTTTTGTATTTTTAGTAGAGACAGGGTTTCACCATGTTGGCCAGGATGGTCTCGATCTCTTGACCTTGTGATTTGCCCCCCTCGGAGCTTTCACTTCTAAGTGAGAATGTGAAGTATTTGGTTTTCTGTTCTTGTTTTAGTTGGCTAAGGATAATGGCCTCCAGCTCCCTCCATCCATGTCCCTGCAATGAACATGATCTCGTTCTTTTTTTTTTTTGTGATGGCATTGTAATCCATGGTGTATTTGTATAATATCTTTGTTAGCCAGTATATCGTTGATGGGCATTTAGGTTGATTCAATGTCTTTGCTATTGTGAATAGTGTTGCAATAAATGCCCATATGCATGTGTCTTTATTATAGAATGACTTATGTATTTTGGGTATATACCATTCAACTCAGCAATCTCATCACTGGAAGCTTCTTGTACAAGGCTTTTGGAAGTTTCGTAATTTTATTTTACTACAATAAATACCTAAGAATGGAATTGCTGAGTAACTAGATAGATGTATAATTAACTTCTTAATAAGTTGCCAAATTTGGAGGGGTGCAGCAGCTTATGCCTGTAATCCCAGCATTTTGTGAGGCCAACAAACCTGTGCTCAGGAGTTTAAGACTAAACTGAACAACATGACAAAACTCCATCTCTACAAAAACAATTTGCTGGGCATGGTGGCATGTGCTTGTGATTTCAACTTGTTGGGAGGCTGAGGTGGGAGGATGGCTTGAGCCTGGTAGGTGGAGGATGCAGTGATCTGAGATCATGCCAGTGTACTCCAGCCTGAGTGACAGAATGAGACTTCATCTCAAAAATAAATAAATTAATTAAAATATACAAAATGCCAGATTTATTTCCCAAGTGATCATATTTTTTATTGTGGTAAATAACACAACATAAAATTTACCATCTGTACCATTTTAAGTGTTCAGAAGAGTCGCCTTAAGTCTATGCACATTATTGTGTAACATATCTTTATTCTCTCTATTCATCCATCAATCAGATCAGTGAGCATTTAGGCTGGTTCCACATCATGGTTACTGTAACTAATGCTGCAGTGAACACGAGTGTACAAATATCATTCACAACTCCACTTTCAGTTACTTTCGATATATTCCCAGAAGCAGTATTGCTGCATCATATGGTAATTCTATTTTTAATTTTTTGAGGAATGATCATACTATTTTCCATAGTAGCTGCATCCTTTTACACTCTTAAGTAACAGCAGCAAAGCTTCCAGTTTCCCCATATGCTCACCAACACTTCTTATTTTCTGTTTTTTGCTTTGTTTTGTTTTGGTTTTGATAGTGGCTATTCTAATGTTTGTCAAGTGATAACTCACTGTGGTTTTGACTTGAATTGCCCTGATAATCAGTGATGTTGAGCATCTCTTCATATATATGATGGCCATTTGCATATCTTCTTTGAAGACATGTCTATTCCAGTCTTCTGCCCAGTTTTAAATCTGGTTATTTGCTTTGTTGTTGTTGAGTTGTAAGAATTCTTTAAATATTCTGGATATTACCTTATTATCAGACATACAGCTCGAAAATATTTTCTTCTATTTCAAAGGTTGCTGTTTCACTCTGTTGGTCATTTTATTTATTTTATAAAATTTTTAATTCTTCTGTAGCCATGTCTATTTTGCCCCAATGCCTGTGGTTTTGGTGTGATATCCAGGAAATAATTGCCAAATGCAATGCCATAAAGATTTTAATCTAAGTTTTCTTCTAGGATTTTTTACAGTTTCAAGCCTAATGTTTAGTTATTTAATTTGTTTTGAGTCAATTTTTTGTACATAGTATAAGTGCCCAACATTCTTTTGCATGAGGATATCCAGTTTTACCAATATAAGTAATAGAAAAGAAGACTTAACATGTTCGTTAACATAATTTGATTACATTTGAGAATTAATTTCAGGGTTATTCTGTTCCATTCTTCTGTGTGTCTGAGTTAATTCCAACAGGACATTGTTTTGATTACTGTATCTTTGTAATATATCTTGAGGTCAGAAAGTGTAAAGCCCCAGTTCTGTTATTATTTTTCAGGAATTTTTTTTGACTATTCAGAATTCTTTGAGGCTCCATATGAATTTCAGCATAGCTTTTCTATTTCTGTAAAATAATACCATTGTGATTTAATAGGGATTCATTGAGCCTATACATCACATTGCTTAGTATGGTCATTTTAACAATATGAATTTTTCCAGTACATCAACATGGGGTATCTTTCCATTTATTTGTTTCATCTTTAATTTCTCAAGGCTGTTTTGTAGTTTTCAGTGTACACGACTTTTAACTTTTTGGTTTTTATTATTCCTAATAATTATTTTTGATTCTATTATAAATTATAAATAAAATTTTTATTTTTTATTATTAATGAATAGAATTAATGTAATTGACTTTTGTGTGTTGTTTATTCTGCAGCTTCCTTAAATTTTTTATTAATTCTAATATTTTTGTGTGTGTTTAAATTTTAGAGTTTTCTACATCTAAGCTTATATCAGCAAGCAAAAATAATTTTAATTCTTTTGGATTTGGGCAAATTTTATTTCTTAGTCTTGCTTAATTGCTTCTGGCTAGGACTTCTGATTTTATGTCAAATACAAGACTTAAGAGTGGAGATCCTTGCCTTATTCCAGACCTTAGAGGAAAAGCTTTCAGTTTTTCATCATTCACTGTAATGTTAGCTGGGCTTTTTATATTGTGCCTGGGTAATTTCCTTCTATTCCTCGTTTGTAAATTTTATTATGTTTTAAATTGTGAAAATGTATTCATTTTGGCAAATGCCTTTTTCTTCATCAATTGAGGTGATATGTGGAATTTTTTTCTCCATTCTGTTTGTGTGGTATGTTAATTACATGGATAGATTATTATTTTTTTTAATGTTGAACCATTCTTGCATTTCAGGAATAAATCACACTTGACCATGGTGTATAATCTTTTAAATTTGTTGTTGAATTCAGTTTTTTATTATCTTTTGGAGGACTTTTGCATTAATATTTATCAGGAGTATTGGTTTGTACTTCTATTTTTGTAGTATTTTGTCTGGTTTTGATATCTGTATAATGCTTACCTCAAGTTGGAAACGGCTCCCTCCTCATCAAATTTTTTTGAAAGAATATGAGAAGGATCAGTGCTAATTCTTTAAATGCTTGGTGAAGTTCTACAATAAAACCTTCCGGTTCTGGGCTCTTCTTTGCGAGTAATTTATTAATGATTCAATCACCTTACTAGTTATGTGTGTGTCTGTATTTTTTTATTTCTTCATAATTGATTATTGGTATGTTGCATATTTCTAGAAAGTTATCTCTTTTTTTCTAGATTATCCAGTTTGTTGCCACATAATT